GCGAGGCTAAGGACCTTGACACCAATCCTATCGGCCTTCAATATAGCTTCTTCTATTTGCCTATTTATGCCATCTTTTGCAGAGGGTAAAAAATACTGCAATCATAAAACAACTATGTATCAACATATATAATCCAGTTTTAGTTCAATCTTTTACTAGAACAATTAAACGAACACAATTCTAGCTTAGTTTATGCCAGTTCATAAATTTGTACTCTATATATGGAAAGAAGTTGCATAGTACCATGAACCCAAATCTTGGCACGACCCAACTCTGAAGTAATCTTCCTCTAAGATGGCAGAAACTGAGCAAGAAAGTTTTTGATTTAGCCCACATGATCAACATCACCATGAAAGCTACTGGCCAATGCAGGAAGAAGATAATATTTGTCGCGTATGGCAATGAGCTGCACGATCTAAAAACAAATGGAACATGCATTGACGACATGACATCAACCACATGTGCAAGAAACACAAAGTCTGGTGCGTTTGCCTTCTTGCCTACAGAATATAAGAGAAACATACATGTATTAAGGAATTAAATTCATGTGTAATCTCGATTGAGTACTCTCGACCTTCAAATGTATTTTTAGGGACCGTAGTTTGCGCATTGATTATGACGTTTAATGTGACTTAATTGTTTGGTGACCCGAATGGATCTTGACCCGACCCTACTTCTAGGAGCACGACCCAATATAGATAATTAGATGGATAAGTGTTAGGGGTAGGGCTACAGTTTGACTTTTGAGAAAAAAATTGATAAATTTTCAAGATTTTTAAGGAGTTGGTGATGTGGCTCCTTTATGACCAAGACTAAACAAAAAATGGTTTTGAGGGATTAATGACAAATACCAAATACTAATAGGTAGGGGTGACAATTGATAATACAACACGACAAAAATACACGACACGAAATTAAATAGGGACGAAACTGAAATTTGAATTCTCGTTCGAGTCGTGTTCGTGTCAAGTTTAAAAAACACGATGTTGTGTCGTGTCGTCTTCGTGTTTAAAATTCGACAAAAAGCTGACACGATTTAACATTTATTTGTCGTGTTTTCGTGTTTGTCGTGTTTTTGTGTTATGTATGATTAAATATTAATTAAATAAACTAATTGTTATTTTATGTTATCTTGTCATGTTGTGTCGTGTTTGTCGTTTTTTAATTGGTTCGTTTTCGTGTTAGTTAAAAAAACGACATCATGTCGTGTCGTGTTCGTGTTAGGCAAAAATACAACACGATGACTCGATTTGCACTACTAATAAACCGTACAAAAATACAATATGATCGTATTTTTCATATATAACACATAATAACTATCAAAGCATGAAATGGATTTACGTTTACGTTTTGGATTATTTCCTATATAGGTCCCTTTATAAAAAACAAAAAAAAATCATAAAATTAAAACATATCTTTTTATTCAAAACTAGAAAGGTTACCCCCACTACGCGGGGGCCAGAAGCTTTCAATGTTGTTTCCGAATTGATAAATAT